GGAACCGAACCTGGGCGGGGTTTCAGAAAATGTGCTGTGGAGGACCGTGCACAGTTATGAAGCCTGCGACCAAAATTTGCCAACAAACGAGGTTCGCCTGGTATTGTCCCAATTTTCTCTCAAAGTTGTTGAGGCTGGTGCCGATGTCAGGGAGAGAGAGCGGGGGGGGGGGGAAGAGGGACTGAAGCCCGCCCACAACTTAATAGGAAAGTACACCCCTGTATAGATCTGTTTTGTTCCACGTCGCTACGGAATGTTTGCCGACATCGCGCCTTCCACATAAGACAGGTGCTGGTTTAGTTTTCAAAATACTTGTCGCTTTTTCATCTCACCATTTAGGCTCTCGTCATTTTGGCATGGTGATATTTTCCCATGTCGCCATTTATTCAACAAGACAACCAAAGAGACTAGTCCTAATTTGTATGGAATTTTCAACTGAGGTAGTCACTTTTACGACCATTACGTACAGTTCACAGTTATGCCCTTCTTAAAACCTGCTAGGCGCAAATGAGCTTGTGCAGACTTTTTTACGCCACTCATTCTGAAGTCATCCAGACATGCATGGTGCGATAGAAACGCCAAGCAGTTTTCGCCTCCCAAATGGCAATGTCGTGTTCAAGGGCAAAGCAAATATGACCACTGATTTTTTCGCAACTGAAGCACGTCAGCAAGGAACCTTACATCAACGGATAGCAGTCGGCTTTCGACCAGCTTGAAGTGCTTAATGCAAGTTTCGAATACGAAGCGCGTTTTGTCATACCTAATGCAAACATTTGGGCAGTTCTATTATTCACGGCAGAAATGAGCCTGGGACTGAGTAACTCGAGAAAATCAGCATAGTCGTGAATGTAAATGCGAGCAAAAGACATGCCGGAGAAGCATAAGAGAACCCGAAAAAGTATAAGAGAACAACAGGAGAAAGCGCCAAAACATAAGGGCATGAAGATGTTCGGCCAATTTCACACGCATCTGTTCAGAAACCACCTGTTGGCGAATTGAAACAAGCTTAGAAGACGCATGAGAATAGTCCGTAAAATCCGCAAATAGTCCGTAAAATACGGTAGCAACTCTGACACTGCAAGTCTGACAGCGATCTTCATGCCACAAAATCGTTCCGTGACATTACCACACGATGACGTATTGAGGAGCATAATTACGAAATAGACATGCTTTGCCTAGAACAGCACTTGACGTTTAGAAACATACCAACAGTTACAAGTGAGGTTTTCCATCTTGTGGGAAGGCTGCCTCAACAACTTCAAATACGGGTCATTCTCTGTAAGTTGCTCACCATTTACACGTCCTCTAAGTTGGCGTGTTATCTTTTGTACGCGTCGCCGGTAAGTAGTCCACAAATTCGACCCTGGCTCATCGACTTTGCCTTTGCCGCCATTTTTTTCCAGTTCGTCATTTGGCCTTTCGCAACTTTGGCATGCCGCTGTTTTGCAGTCCGCCATTTAGCCAGTTCGATTTTTGGCTCGTCGGTGTTTTTACATGTCGACAATATGGAAGTCGTCATATCGATGTCAACAAAAAGTATCTACCAAGCTGCAAGTTGACTTTCTGTCCGGAAACCGGTGGGCGGCAACAAAATGTCAGTTGAAATGGGACGCGTTTACCACGCTGCTGCCCGAAGAATTCACGTGTATGATTCTTGGAGATAATTGGTTATCACGTAGTGTTTTAAACTTAACTTTTCATAACTTAAGACGTAACCCATCTTAAATATAGGGGGGGGGGGGGAGGCTTGTGAACCTCTCCTAAGGTTTACTGAAGGTACCTCTCCGGTATGTGGTACAATTACGCCAAAGTTCTCGCAAGCCTCTGGGGCATCTGTTGCGCGTATCCGCACGTCAAAAACGTGTCCCTAGCGGCTCCGGGCTCTGCTAAGCGGCGGTTTATTAGGAGCGCTGCACGGCGATCCACGGCCGGCACGGGCGGCGGCCGGCAACTAACGGCTCCGCGCAACGTGTGCGGCACGCCGACACTGTTACATCGACGGAGCCCTTCATCATAAACATATGCTAAAAAAAACAACGATGGCCTCCGACACAACATGCTGACACTGGTGCCTTGAGTAATACTTAGAAAACTGCAAACTGGACTGCGTTGCTTAATCGTTGCTAGGGATGGGCCCTTCCGCCTGTTTGTAGGACAAGGTTACATGTTCTTCTATACGCCTTGCTCCTTATTCCGCTAACTTGCGCCGTGCCACAAGTTTGTGCAAACTGGTAACCATGACAATGGCAATCGATTTTGCACAGGAATCGAATTCAGCACTGCTAGCAGGTTGTGCTACACCAGAAACCTTTACTAAACTACTGCTGTTTAAATTCCTTACATATCTGAATAGCGAAAGCCAGTGAAGATCTCACAGCAAAAACTACGTTTAGGTACCAATAGTGTGGTGGTTGACACGCTTGCGTTTTACGCCGGGTAACTTTGGGAAACCAGAAGTATGGGGTTCGCTCCCCTGCGGTGCCCGCCCTTTTAACAGGGCGACGGGCAGGTGACGCCATATGGCCCCAGTGGCTGAGCGCGCCGTAAAGCCCCCATGACGCGCAGCATAAGCTACTTTCTTGGATTTCCTGACATCGGTTTTTCGCAGGAGGTCATGATATGGAGGAGAGCTACATTAGCCCAGTAATCTAGCCGATAAGACGCCGCATCCAGTAGAAAATCTTGTCTAACGCGATTACGCACTGGTTGCCGGGTTCGTATAACCTTTAGACTGAGAAACCTTGCGTGGGCTCCCCCAAACTCGGTTGCAGTTTAATTGTACGGAATATGTTGGCACGTTTCCGATTCATTTGATACCCTCCCCTTTTTGTTCAGTTTGTGGTGATGCAGGAAACCGGCGACTTTGGTCTCAACACGGGCCCAATGAGAGGTGAGGGCCACATTGCAGTACAGCCGTCGTGAATATGTTTTGGCAAAGATGATGCACAGAATTAGACATGTCACGTGCTCAGATTTTTTGTTGTTGTCAAATCACGCCCATTGGATGCATCTTGCTCGTTCTACGCACATTGAATAAAAAGTGTTGTGAGCAGGCGCAGACCCAGTTCCCTACAACTCCATACCACGCATTTGCTGTAAAAAGCTGTCTTCAACGTCCACTGAGTTGAGATCACGACAACGTGGTTTTGTCGGCGTATCGTGTACTGTTCAGACACAGTTCAGGTGGGAGAAGTCCTACCGGCAGACTGTCACCTCTCCACGTCGCTGCCCGCTTGCAAACCTACCGACAGGGTTGTGGAATCACATGGGCAGCTGCTTCATGTCCTGTACTTCGTAGGTACGAATCACATTAGCATCAGTCATCCACAAGTATTCCGATCATTGCCTGAACGTATACACTGACCATGTCCACATGAATGCAGCGAGGAGTTCCGGAGTGCGTGAGTGCGTGAGTTGCGGAATACGGAGTGCGTGAACTCCGGCCCGGCGTTCTGGTGCAGAATGCCATCTATCGTCGACATCCGCAGGCTGGCAGCTCACACCACACAGATGATTGCTTTTATAATATACACAAATAGCCTTAGCAGTTGGTCTCATGGGTCCAGATACCCGCTTGGCATCAGGCACGTGCTTCACATGACCCTCACGCACGAGCCCGGCGGTCAGCTGAAGCGGCCCGTGCCTGGGACACACGAGTACAGGTTGATTGGCTGCTTGGGCCGCTGGCCGCTGCGCCCGCATGGTCACACATCGCAGCCGTACGGGGATACACTGCCGTGGCTGGCTAGGCACTGGGACATGATATCAGCTCATCTGCAAACCGATACATTTCGGCTGGACTCCAGAGGTACCTGTTTGTTGATACTTTGTGGCGACGCTCGGGCTATTCGCCTCCACATTACTACCAGCATGTAATCAGGCAACGAACGATCACCCACCGACCCACACCATAGTATACGGTGAATTCCGAACGTAAGCACGAACGTACAATCAGGTATCAGACATGGCTATTCATGCGCAGACGCCGCTTACGGTGAAGCACTGCCTCTGTTTCATCATGTGGCAGTGATGCGGCAGACAATGTTTGGCGGGCTCTCAATGGGGGTGAACGTTACATAAATCAGGCATAGCCCCCGCGACTATTTCCTTTCCCGAGCGCAGCCAGCCGTGATCGTATACATAGCCACTCCTGTAACACAGACAGACCGCAGACATGCATGACGATAGAAGCCAAAGGCTTGTCCTGGAACTGCGCGTGTGTTGAACAGGCCCCAGGGCGTGCTCCGGTGGAAAGGCGTCAAAGCGCACGTACATGGACGTGGAAATCTTCGAAGATGAGACGTGCTTAGCACATCTGTAATAACCTTACGGGGAAGACGTATTGCTGGTCAGCTCGGATTATGCCCCATTATGCATCGGAAACTGTTCAACTTCCATTTCGATTTGCAACTCCAGCTCACAAACTCCGGCTACGACACGTGGATTAAGACCGCGCTATTGGCCTGCCGCGATACGCCATATTATGCGAGTCCCTTCCCTCCCCCTCCCCATTGGTAACGTATCACATCACTCAGGCACCGCTCGGCGGCCGCGAGACACCCCTTCGGTGACTCTGATGACCCCCTCTCCCACCGTTGTCACGCGCAACGCCGGTACCGATCTCGTCACGGTCACCGCTGGGAACTGTGGCGCACGTCACCGCGGGACTGTGGCGGCACGGTCACCGTCGGAACTGTGGCGGCTCGGTCACCGCCGGACTGTGGCAGCACGGTCACCGCCGGGGACTGTGGCGGCACGTCACCGCCGGGGACTGTGGCGGCACGGTCACCGTCGGAGACTGTGGCGGCACGGTCACCGCCGGGGACTGTGGCGGCACGGTCACCGCCAGGGACTGTGGCGGCTCGGTCACCGCCGGGGACCGGGGACTGTGGCGCCGCGGTCACCGTCAGGGACTGTGGCGGCACGGTCACCGCCGGAGACTGTAGCAGCACGGTCACCGCCGGGGACTGTGGCGGCTCGGTCACCGCCGGGGACTGCGGCAGCACGGTCACCGCCGGGGACTGTGGCAGCACGGTCACCGCCGGGGACTGTGGCAGCACGGTCACCGCCGGGGACTGTGGCAGCACGGTCTGCAGGCACGGTCGCCGCACTACTTGTGCTCGGACGGCGGAGGGCTGGCCGAACCGTTGTGAGACGTCCTGCTGCCGGCGCCATTCATGAGCGGGACCGGTGGGGACCACTTGCGCCCCTGGAAGCCCTCCATGACGTCCGTCAGCTTCAGGGCGTAGGCGATCTCGAACAGGGTGTTGTAGCCCAGTACCCTGTCGACACGACGGTACGCGAGTCACGACAGTGCTGACCACACCAGTGCGGGTCTACGTGCGGCTCGGTCGACAGGTCACTACACTGCTGGTACTGCCGTCTCATGAAGGCTAGTGAAAAAGGTGAGCGTCCATGGCGTGCCTCAACGGTTCTGATAATCTGTTTCGTTTAGCGAATACTGTTTGAAGCACATATTGTGTTTTGTTTTGTGACTGTTCATGTTAACATATACAAGCTGATCATATTGCTGGCTAAGCGCATTTATATAAAGCTATGCAGTCGTCGCAGCAAAGACCTTGATCACGAGCAAGCTCGTGACAACAGGTCAGCTTATTTCATATGTGCAACAAAATGTGTTATTACCACCAATGATATCGACCAATGCATAAAGAGACACGCATGCGTCTGTCGAAATCACCAGCAACGTCATACTCTTGGACGCAGGCAGCGCGGGCCGGATGTAGACGGGGGTGAGCTTCACGTGTTCTGCGCCAACAGGCTCCATTCCGACCGGACCTACGCAGACTAGTTGACAGGCCCCATCCGCAAGGACCATCGAGGACCATCGACAGGCCCCGGCATGACCAGACCAGCGACAGACCACGGCTTGAACAAACCAGCAGCAGACCATGGCATGACCGGACACGCGGCAGACTCCGGCATGACCGAACACGCCGCAGACCCCGGCATGACCAGACCAGCGGCAGACCCCAGCATGACCAGACCAGCGAAAGAGTGCGACGTAATCAAACCAGCGGCAGACCACGGCATGGCCAGACCAGACCACTGCGTGCTGCTGGCAGGATGCACAGTCGCCTGGACAGACGTACATTGAAAGCCGACGGGACGGATGCAACCTCTGGCGGCGATGCAGGGTGCACTCGGACGGCATGGATATACCCGCCTTTGAGCGGTTCACAGAGACCCCATGTTTTGTCCGGCATGCATACTTCAACACAGGCACGCGCGTGCTCACAAACACATGCAGAGGACGGTGAGTGGGCAGCTGGAGCAGCCTCTCGCCACACTGTCCCGCTGGTTTCATCAGCTCGGTCTAACAAAAACTAGCCAACACTGTCCTCCACACACACCCTGAGGCCAAACAAAAGCCTGCCCTGGAAGCGCACCTCACAGTTAGTTCAGCAGGGTGCTGGGTCGCGACTGAGCACGAGAGGCAGACGGCACGAGCGATTCTGCCAGCACACACTAGCCGGCCGCATGCACTCTTACTGTGGACCGCACTAAGCTGTCTTCTGGCGACCGGTAAAGGCGTCCATGCTGCGCTCAACTCTAAAGCTGCGGCCGAGCCACCAGTAGGCGTTACTGGGCAAGAGCCTGGCGCAGCGACGGCGTCCGTCACACGCGCGCCAGTCGACAGCCGGTCTGACACGGCCGGCCCAGCGCCAGCGCGACCGCCTCGGGTCACGCTCAGCACAGCCACACCTACCTGCTGCAGCGGCACACCGCCAAACAGGATCTTACTGAATGGGGTGTTCCTCATTTGTGTCGGGTGTTGAGCTGAAATGGCCATTTTGAAGATCGTTCGGTGCAGTTCACAGCCTTGTCCTTCTTGCGACCTACAACCCTCCGGTTTCTGGGCTACATGTCCGCGAAGTTGTGCAGACTATTTCGTGCGCATTATTTCAAGGTCATTCAAGCATTTATGACGCCATAGAAATATCATCAAAATCCTGCGACCACACTGACCATGCCGTGTTCAAGGCCAAAAATAATATAATTGTCGAGCAGTTCATATATAATGCTCGTGAGGACGATTTCCAGACATTATGGGTGTCAATCGGCTATCAAGCAATGCTGTACAAGCTATGCAAGAGTCTAACACGAATTACGTTTTGCGCTACGTAATACAAGAAGTTATCAGTCTTCCCAGTTATTACGGGAATAGGACCTGATATCCAAAATCGTAAGATTCGCGCAATAACCGAATGTTCCTTAACGCAATCAAACAATTATGTAATAAAGAGCATATTAATTAAATCGAGAAATTGTATTGCTTAGAGCGGTCTTTTACACTTGAAATACACCAATAGCAAAAAGCGAGCCTATTTAATCATATCTAATGCTTACTGGAAGTGTGGAGCATTCTCTTTAACCATTGCCTTGATCAAACTGAGCTAATCACCCATAAGGTCAGGACACAGCCTGAATTTGTGACGGGCGTTAGTGCCACGATTCCCGACGGGAGGGGCTTATTTTTTACCAGCGAGTGCCAATCTTATTAATAGTACCCAACCACTGCGGACAGCCTGACGGAAATAAGACTTGATCCCAGGCCCCACTGACGCTAAAATGTACAATACCTTGCATATCATTGGGCTATCGATGTGGGTTTGCCCTGGTGCATCTTAAGGAATATTTCGCATTTGAAGACATTGAAGCAAGCATCAGAATGATAAAATAAACTCACTTATAAGTATAAGTACACTTTTAAGCAGAAAGTACTGGTCTAGACAAAACATTTCCCTTTTGAGTAAATATGCTCCTCAATACGTCATTGTTTAAATACGTCATGGTACCTAGCACATCACTGATTGACAGCCAATCCGCCGTTATCTTGGAAATCGTGCTCACTAACGCCATATTTGAACCACTCGACAGTGATATTTATGTTGACCTTGATCGCCGCATAGCTTATGGGAGGGCAAGGATTTGAATGGCGTTATTATGGCATCATGGATGCCTGGGTAACCTTGAAATAGTCTCCCAAAAAAGTCAGCACATCTTTGCCCGCGTGTAGCTCAGAAACTAGAGAGGTCATAAGCAGGGCAGGGCTGTGAATTGCACCGCATGATCAAGATGGCTGTTCCAGTTTAAAACCCAAACAAGAGTGAAACACTTCCTTTAATCCATTGTTTTAGCTGTGTACCGTACGTACTCACTCGGTTATCCGCAAGTCTTGACACCCAACTACGGCTGTTCGGATATACATGATGGAGCCCTCTGGCTTCGCCTAAGAATAAAACGGATGTTTGGACATTTTAACACTATGTACATCAAACTGTATGACCTTACGCCGTGTCAATCCAACCGCAATTGCCTATAAGAAAGCTATGCTCACCACTCTGTTGTCAGACACCATCTTACGAAATACTGCGCCGACAGCCTCGGACAGAGCAGCATATTAGCGCTGGACAGAACTAGACTAGCAGTAGGCAAGACCGGCGCCACACTAAACTGGCATCAGATGGGACGAGCCTAACAGCACACCATGTTACTGCAATGTCACGATCTTCAGATCAAGTCATGTCATTCCACTGCAGAATGCGCTGGTATGCATCATTAGCAACATCCAACATTCAGCTCAATCGGTACAGCAGTTGCTTTCATGGTTTTTGAAAATAGATTTCCGTGTTTAATAAGCGATGCGATTGCGCGGTGTATACCCTGGGAAGGCTTGATCTAGGGACATGTATACATACACGGACTGATCAGCACGCCATGTATGCATACATGGCGCGCTGATCAGTGCCGTTCCCTTGCTAGTGACACAAGATTTTGCTCGATCGGCCTCGCAGTTCCCGGCATAATGTTTGGCAGCAGTCTTCGCATTTGACATACACTGGCATTGATTGAAGAGCGTAAATCGGCGATAGCTCGATCTGAGATCGAGAATCTGCATCTGCAGGGTGCGCTAGTCCACCTCCATCTTATGAAGCCGGATTTGACCCGATCGACCCCGGAGTTCATTCTGTGATATTTGACAGAAGATTGAGGCATTTGTACTCCTAGTGGTGTTTATTTCTGCATTGCCGATGCGGCCTAAGGTCACGAAACTGCACACATCTGATGTGTGGGCTCCGAGCAATCTATCGCGCGTTAAGCTTAAGACGAGTAGTTCCCGGAAACGTGTTTGGCAGTTATGGCAGTAATTCGGTGCCGGGCAGAGGGCGGTTACAGCACCAAGAGGGTCAGACAGGCCTCGGGCTTTCCAGTTGTCGGAAACCGACTGCTTAAACGCCAAGCTGACGCAGCTGACTGCCGCACACGGGACTCTGTTCTACTCCTCCACCGACCCCGGTCACTCGAGCCGCTGCCGTCCGATCAATATGCTGACCGGGATCATGCGACAGTGACGACGTCTTCGTATACACCACGGAGACACTAGCATTCACAGAGGCTCTTCAGTTTGCTGTTTACCCTTCCCAATATCTACATACAGGAGTTCGCACAACTGAGGTTGCAAATAAAACAATATCCTGCCGAATCCCGCAACTTTGAAACAAAAATGCGCGAGATATCGCTCAGCGTGCAATAATCCTGCGCACTAATAAACTGCTATCATGGGGCAAATAATGCTCGGAAACCAATCAGTTTTGCGAGCGTTGCGGTTGTAATGCTTCCGGTTTGTATACTTATTCACAGAAATCTAGCCCGACATTTTGCAGGCACCAAATAATCGACTCCAAGCTCAGTGATCACAATTCGTACCAGGTAGTGCTGGTTAAAAAAAGGCTCAACCGCGTTTCAGAAAACAATATAATTTCAAGCTGATCGTTTTTAAGTGGCATGCAGCGTCACAACACTACAGCCTCTCTCCACTTATGCTCCTGTTTCGGCCAGTTGCCACCTGTCGCAATAGGTTATCCATATGAACTTGATTTTCATTGCCAGCTTGAAACGGGGGCATAGCTGCGCACATGTGGCACAACACAAGCTGAGCACCAGGCAGCTTCTAACGTATGATCTATTTCACATAATTTGTACCGATCTCTTTAGATCCAGCTTACGTGAAGAGGGCTCTATACCCTAAGAGCCCACCATCGAAGTATCACGAGCTTGTCTCGAAAGATAGTGTTGCTCCCACCGGACACGAATGTGAATAGGTTGTTCTGGCGCTGGCTAGTGGCACAAGCCCCCACCATACCGGTCCCTCTGGCTAGTTGTGTACTGACATTGTCATACTGGTCAGAAGAGATAAGAAGGCAGAATACAAGCCACAGTAAACATACATACATATATATATATATATATATATATATATATATATATATATATATATATAAACATGTGCTGAGCCCAGAGCGCCATGAATGTCAGTGTAATGTAACCGTTCACCCCCACAAAAAAACTGCACGATTGACTTCAGCGTCAACTTTATATCTCGAGTTAGTGCACCTCCACCTTTGTACACAGGCTCGCGGCCAGGCGGGTGCACTGGTTGTTCGTACACCCCTGACATTTGGGGTGCACCCCCAGCCTCGTTCAGTGTGAGCGCATCCCTATACTCCGGCGTGGGGGTGCTAAGAAGATTGAGTATGGCCGTTCCTGGCGTTGGCGTTCGCAGCAAATCGTAAAACAGCACAACATAATCGTCACAGCCCGGACAAGGGATCGCGTATGCACCAAGTGCGTACCTTTTTCCTGGTACACCCCGGGGGTTTGGTCAGCCAACAGGCATGTCTGTCCTGCTAACCCCGGGGGTTTGGTCAGCCAACAGGCATGTCTGTCCTGCTAACCCCAGGGGTTTGGTCAGCCAACAGGCATGTCTGTCCTGCTAACCCCGGGGGTTTGGTCAGCCAACAGGCATGTCTGTCCTGCTAACCTCGGGGTTTGGTCGGCCAACAGGCATGTCTGTCCTGCTAACCCCGGGGGTTTGGTCAGCCCACAGGCATGTCTGTCCCGCTAACATTTGCGAACCGGCCATGAACGGCATGGAAATGAGCGGCGGTGGGGCCGGCGGCGGCGGCGCGCCGGTCAGCGCACACTCACAGCTTGAAGAAGAACAGCGGCGTCAGGTAGCCCGGGATGATGACGTGCTCCTTGTTCAGCAAGATGGCAGTCTCGATCTGATCCGCCACATACTCCGGCTCCAGGAACGGGATCACACTGAAGCGGAATAGCCGCCGCTGTCAAGGCCAGTGGCGGCGGCACCTCTGTCGAGTTGACGGATGGTTACCTCGGTTTTTTTCCTGCGCCGTCGTAGGAGTGTTGTTACGTGTCGCAAAGGGTTGGAGGGAAGGGGGACGACTGCCCGCTCACCTGGTCATGAAGTCAGGATATCATCACTCGCATGCCCCCCGGAAGTGAGAAAGCGCCATCTGCCAGGGCGTGAGCAGCGACCGTCCCCAATTGTGCATCATACGGGAGTTGTAGTGATCATCGGCAATTCTCCGGAGGGAGCAGCAGTGATCATCAGCCATTCTCCGGGAGGGAGCGGTAGTGATTATCAGCCATTCTCCGGGGGGGGGGGGGGGGCAGTATTCATCAGCCATTCTCTGGGAGAGCAGCAGTGACCATCAGGCATTTTCCGGAAGGGAGCAGCAGTGATCATTGGATATTCTCCGCAGGGGCAGTGATCACCAGCCATTCTCTGCGGGAGCAGCAGTGATCATCAGCCATTCTCCGGAATGGAGCAGCAGTGGTTATCAGCCATTCCCCGGGGGAGCAGCATTGATCATCGGCCATTCTCCGGGAGAGCAGCCGTGATCATCAGCCATTCTCCGGAAGGGAGCAGCAGTGATTATCAGCCATTCTCCGGAAGGGAGCAGCAGTGATCATCAGCCATTCTCTGGGAGAGCAGCAGTGATCATCAGCCATTCTCCGGAGGGGCAGTGATCATCAGCCATTCTCTGCGAGAGCAACAGTGATCATCAGCCATTCTGGATCATCGGCTATTGATCATCGGCTATCCACCGGAGGGACGAGCAGTAATTATCAGCCATTCTCCGGGAGGGAGCAGCAGTGATCACCGGCCAGAAGGGAGCAGGAGTGCATTCAGACGCCAAACGATCATAACCGGAATCCCACTAATAAGTGATAATCGTACACCAGAGGAGAACGACACAACGATTACCATCTGACCACTAGACAAGAACGAGACAGCAATCACCATCTAAACACTATGAGACAAGAGCGACACAGTGATCATCACTGCGGACACCAAGGGCGCGATAGAGCAATTCTTTATTTTTTATCAATAGAATTTCTGTGTGACATCTCCAGTCCCTTACACCGGGCTGTGTGACATCCCCAGTCCCTACACCGGGCTGTGTAATATCTTCAGTCTCAGTGGCGGGCTGCGTGACATTCCCAGTCTCAGTGGCGGGCTGTGTAACATCCCTAGTCTTAGTGGCGGGCTGTGTGACATCTTCAGTCTCAGTGACAGGCTGTCTGATATCCCCAGCCTCAGTGGCGGGCTGTGTAACATCTCCAGCCTCAGTGGCGGGCTGTGCGAGATCTTCAGTCCCTGGCACACACTTACGTTGACTTGGCGCCATCAAACATTCCCGTGTTGATGAAGAACGGGCAGATGACAGTGGTATGCACATCGTCGTGGCCTCCCACCTGAAATGCATTGGGCGATGCCACTGAAGCAACAGGAAGGAACACACCGACAACGAAGACTTAAGAAAGAACCATGTTTCCCCTCGGACGAACAGGGACTCATTTGGGAGCTGTCTGTTGTAATGCAAAGCAAGAGACAGCGAGTCCGGTATCTCAGCGTCCGCGGCGCACACTTCACGTTGATACCGTTTTATCAGCTGCTGCCGTGTTGCTGATGCTCAGTTACACCACGGCACGTGATACGGGATTAATAATAAGCTGCCCAATCTCTCAGGGGTTTAAGTGTGCTTGGCCGGGTTACACAGAGACAGTGTAATCTCACCGTCCCCGTGTACCTGACAGGATTCATTTCGATTGTTTCTGATAACAGTGAGTCCTTTACAAACTCGCAGTGATTCCACAGAAGCAGAGGTCATAAACAGATACACCGAAGACGTTTGACGGCCGTAGGTTGCGCAAAGGCCCGCCGTGAAAGAGCACGTGAATCGAGCAACACAATTACGTTGGCTTCCAAATACGGCACAACAACACTGGCTGCAACGCTACACAAGCAGTCATCCAGATAGCATCTTCAGCTATTGGAAAGCTTTAAATAAAGCATGCATGCATTGACACAGACCCGCCGCTGAACACAACTGACGATAAAGGACCTCCCCGGTCTGATCCAGACGACCTGTGCGCCGCCGGCAGTCATCGCACTGCGAGGCGACGAATAAAGGGACGCATGTGCCCATTTGCTTTAAGAGTGGATACCGATTTCGAATCACTTAAAATGTTAGAATGCATCTGTGGGTGTAGCGCCTCTGTCAAATACAGAAGACAGTTCATGACGCATGGAGAAAAACTGGAGTGGCGCGGTTTCTGCGCTTTGCACATTCAGTTATTCTGGAATCGTGGTAACAAGGAAGCATACGGTACCATTGTGGTCTAGTGTAAGCCCCACGGATGCGGTACAAGTTTGCACGCATCTTAATGCTCTGAAGAATATCTAAATTTCAAATAGCTCTACAAGTTGTTCGACGAAGCTTTGCCCGCGAGTAGCGACGTCCAGAGTCCTAGTGCAGGTGCTAAGCATCACTGCATAATTTGGCCTTAGATTCATCTGTCTAACCCTGTGAAAATGTAACACTTCGCCTACTATGGATGCATGGGGACGCCCCACTCCCCATGCGCAGTTGGGCTTTTGCCGCAGCGTTGTCAAGCCAGTTCATTCCACAGGGGGCGGGGAGATCACCATGCGCAGTTGGGCTTTTACCGCAGCGTTGTGAAGCCAGTTCATTCCACAGGGGGCGGGGAGATCACCTTCAGCTCAACGGTGAGCGACTCGTGGAAGCCGACGGCGGCGAACTTGGAGGCGCAGTAGTCGGTGAGGCGGCTCATGCCCTGCATGCCAGCCAGGCTAGCGATGTTCACCACGTGGCCCTTCTTGGAGGCGATCATGTCCGGCAGGAACGCCTTGCAAGTCTGCACAAGAGGGCGCCGGCGTCAGTCGGCCTGCGTCTGAGGCAGGTCGCTCGTGCTCGGTGGGCGCCGCTTGTGACGGGCGCTCGCGCCGCGCGGCTTGTGGCCGGTGGGCGCCGCGCCGGGGGTCAGCAGCGAGCGGTGGTCCGCACGCCGGGGATCAGCAGCAGGCGGTGGTCCGCACGCCAGGGATCAGCAGCGGGCGGTCGTCCACACGCCGGGGATCAGCAGCGGGCGGTCGTCCACACGCCGGGGACCAGCAGCGGGCGGTGGTCCCCACGCCGGGGATCAGCGGCGGGGCGACGGGATTCTTATGTCTCGAAATAAAAAGGGCAACCCATGGTTGATCTACGGGTTCTTTTGCTTTCAACACAAAAAACAACCGCTAGCCTTTTTTCAGTCATATGGAAATCGTGTAAAATGATAATGAATCCTATAATGTGCAAGACGTCAGCCGATATAATATGATACATGATATATATATATATATATATATATATATATATATATATATATATATATATATATATATATAAATGCCCGCCTAAGACATCGTTTCGATACATTGTGCACCATTATCATGACACAATAGCAGAAAGTTATCATAAAATACGAGTGCATTTGACAGACCGCGCGAGGCATGACAACGGTCATAGTTACCGCAACTAAGCACAATTTCTCAAAGGACAAACAGGACAGCTTGGAAACTACACCATCACGCGACGAAAGATCTTTTACACTTCGCATGAAAAAAGCAACTTCGTAATTCGCAGAAGATATACAGACCCCGTGGTATTTAACGGTGACTTCTTTTGGTGGCTAAGACGTGGTTCTAAAATCCTAAGGTCGCGAAAATTGCTGCAACAATGAAGAACGATAACTCGATGACGATGACTGCTACGACGTGATGACCGAAACGCTGACAAATTACACAAATGATAGCTACTCTTGTCCTTGCCACCAAGTTTTTACCGTCTCTTACTTATATATATATATATATATATATATATATATATAAATTTGTGTGTGCGCGTGCGTGCGTGCGTGCGTGCGTGCGTGCGTGCGTGCGTGTGTGCGTGCGTGCGTGCGTGCGTGCGTGCGTGCGTGCGGACGGGCGAGCATACGGGTGTGCATGCGTGCGTGTGTGTTTGAAATGCAAGTTATTAGTTGTCAAGGTTTTACTGATTTCAGAAATACCCATTCAAAGGCACGGCGGCATTGAAACGCGCCTCAGGCTATGTGACGTCACCGAGCGCTGGCGGGCCGTCCGGCGACCGGTAGGATTACGTCATCGAGTCGGCCGGTGCAACGCTTTCTGTTCACTCTTGTCGTAAAACGGGGAACAGGGATTGACATCGGCCTAGCATTCTTTTGAAAAAAAACTCTGATGAAGGTATTAACACATAAACATCCCCAGCACGTGCTGGGAACGTACCTTTTCGACAACGTATCGTTCCTTTTCAGTCCTCATTGGCATCTTGCTGTGCCGAGAACGGTTTGGACGAGCCGAAAGACAACAAAATAGTATACATGTAAGCAAACAAATGATATAATTTGCCCTGTCCACCCTAAGTGACCCCTGCCAATACCGGGTCAGCAAGCGTCCCTCCCCACCCGCACCCCACCCCGTCCCACGCACGGAATGGCGAGATCATCGGAATGTTCCCCGACTCGTTCCGAGTGTGCCCCGGTGTCTGGCAGCGCTCCTCGCCGCCGAAACTGCCAAGTCATCGCCACTTTCGCCAGTCCGACGGACGGCGCTGGCGGAAAGCTAACGAAAGTGACGCAACGTGACGGTCCGGCGCGTCGGCGTTACGTCCACACAGCGCCATGCCGTGGGGGAGCGAGGGGGGGGGGAACGGCACCGGTGGTCTCTAGGCCGGCCGCGCCGGCTGGGGACCGCGGGAATACTGCAGTGCAAACACCAGGCCGTTCATTGCCGGCTGGGCTGCGTGTCCAAAATATCTTACGGGGATTAAATTTGTCCGACATTAGTTCGTTCGTTTCTCTGTAAAAACGAACACGTGCGTTAACGTGAAAAATGCAGAAACCTACGAGTGTCCTATGGACGCACAAAAGGAAGATGCTTCAGGCACGCTGCTCATTTTATCTGGCGCACATGAACGAAAATCAGCGAGCTGATGTGAAAAAAGGCATAATTAAGCCCGATGCCGGTTGGACTAGCATCACCCCGCTGAGTCCCGGCCGGACCCGCACGCGACAGCAGGGTCTCACCTGGAACACGACTACACGGCAGATTCCAACTGGTCTCATTTGACCCAGCACAGCCCCGTTAGCCAAACCCAACGCAGCCGTGCCGCTTGGTTACCACAACCCAGCAGTCCTCGCTCATCTAACACGGCACGGCCGAGCTGGGGCGATACAACACAGCAGAATCCCTCTGGGCTAACCCGACACCGCAGTCCTCGCTGGCCCGACGCCACACCGCTCAGCGCCGGCTGGTCTAAACGTGACGCCGCAGAGGGACGCTGGGCAAACGTCAAACAGCCCGGCTCAGCTTGTCTCATGCGACATAGCAGAGCAAGGCTGATTTGACCCGGCACGGCCGAGTCCCGCCAGATTCTTGGTTTTATGATCAGCGACCTCATACACAAGAAGCAAGTATTCAACAGGACAACACGACATGGTCGAACACGGCACGGCGAACACAAAGTCGCTGCCTAGCTGGTCCAGCACATATCAGCAGCAGTCTCAGCTAGTGTAACACCACATGTTGGAGTCTAGGCTAAGCTAACACGGGGCTGCAGAGGCCCGGCTGCTTCAGCACTAGTGTAGCACTACATATATGGGAACCCAGGCCGAGCTAGCACAGGGCTGCAGAGGCCCGGCTGCTTCAGCACTAGTGTAACACTACATATCGGAACCCAAGCCGAGCTAGCGCGGGACGGCAGAGGCCCGGCTGCTTCAGCACTAGTGTAGCACTACGCATATGGGAACCCAGGCCGGGCTAGCACGGGCTGCAGAGGCCCGGCTGCTTCAGCACTAGTGTTACACTACACATCGGAACCCACGCCGAGCTAGCACGGGGCTCCAGAGGCCCGGCTGCTTCAACACGCCATAGCAGCGTCTCTGCTCGGCTGATAAGAGACAGTAATCTCAGCTGCTTCAAAACGGCACAATCTCGGCTGGGGCGACACGAGACAGCTCAGTACTGGCCAAGCTGGCCTCACGCAACAGAGCAGTTTCGTGGCCGGTGATTGTCAGTGGGACTAAGTGGGACCGTCAGTGGGACTAAGTGGGATCGTCAGTGGGACTAAGTGTGACTGCCAGTGGGACTAAGTAAGGCCGTCAGTGGGACTAAGTGGGACCGTCAGTGGGACTAAATGAGACTGCCAGTGGGACTAGGTGGGACCGTCAGTGGGATTACGTGGGACCGTCAGTGGGACATCACGTACATACCCAGAAGTGAGCGAGCGTGTTGACCTCAAACGTCTTCTCGATCAGCTTGTCTGGAATCTCCAGCAGGCGATTTCCGATGACCATGCCGGCATTGTTGACCAAAATGCTGACCTGGAACGTCAAATTAAGGTCAGGACACGGAACCAACCCGCTGCCACAAGAGTCGAACCATCTACAGCGACTGGATGAAGCCGCACTTTGCCCCACGTAAAATGATACTTTGTCGCACATAAAGTACCACTTATTCGTCCTTAACTAACATCGCAGCACCAAGCTGTGATGTTATGAAAAGCTATAAAAGACGCAAAGCGAACGCGTATGCCTGTAGATGCCAGCGCTCGAGAGCACGCCCAGGCACGGCTTGTTCCCGATATGCGCTTATGTAAATGCATGGATGTGTGTGAGTAATAAGGGGAGGGCCCCTCTCCTCCCATCAAATGTTTGCATGCTGTCGGGAGTGAATGCCGACCGAATATCTGCCACGGGACGGAAGCCGGTTCCATCAGCTACCGAAGCCGCTCTGGGCACGCAGCGGCGGCTTTAGCCGAGGCCACCGGCGCGCTGTCTGCCTGGCGCCGGAGCGATCGGCTCCTGGCGCCCGGCCAACCCTGCCCCAACGCCGGCACGCGGAACAGCAGCACGCACGAGCAGTCGGTGTTGGCCGGGTGCTGAGGCATCGACTGATAATGGTTACTAGATGTGACTGGTAGACAGCAATCTCCGCTTCCAACGGGAGCCATTTGCCTGGGATACAGGGGTGTGCTTTCCTATCTCATTTTTTTTCTCTTTTAGGGAGGGCTTGTAGCTCAGAAACCAGACGGTTTTTGGTCTTAAGAAGGGCAGGGCTAAGAACTGCACCGATCTATCTTCAAAACGTCTATTTTGGCTCGAAACACTACACAAATGTGGAACAAGCCCTTCAATCGAAGGCATTAACACCAATATTGCTTGCCAAAGGACACACAGGTCTTTAAACGCAGAGGCAAGCCCCGACTCAAGTCATGACAGCCCAACCCAACGAGACTTTTTCGACCCAGTTTTTACCGTTGAAGCGCCTAGCTAAGTATGAGGCATCATTTGACTGTCACAAAACAAACATCCATTAACACACTCGATGATGTAATCAGGCAGTTACAGGTGTAACAAACAGAGGGATCAGGGCACAAGTGAATGAATAAAATCACTTTGTTTGACGACTTCATCATGGGTCGTGACGCAGCTGACAGCGGATTAATGTGAACAGGCTCCGTGGTTTGCGTATCTTCTTTCTGGCATACAGGGGCTGAGATGCAAACTTTGCGAGAGCTACCATGCGCAGCAGCTCGCCCCTAGTTTTCGTACTTTGGGAATGGACTGCACTTGAAATTCACTAGCAGTCAGGACGCAAATGCGAGCACGTTCAATGAAAATCAATACGTCACTGGGGCTTTGTGATGCACTCAGCTGTTGAGCCTATACCATACCGTCCGCTTCTCATACTGGCAGGAAGGGCGGAGATCGAAGGTGATTGGACTACGCACGTCCGGTTTCCCCGACGCACAGCTTAACCACTACATCACTAGTGCCCATTTCAGTTGCCTTTGAGGGCCTTTCTTCAGCCGTTTTTTTACATCAATGTGGCTTGTTTAGCAACTGATGAAGCCAGCTCAGCCAATGCAACAAAAGCCTTGGCCCCTTTGACGTAACGTAATATATCGCAGGTCATACCTGTCGATGTCTAATAGTGTGCATCTGATAAATGTTTCCAGAAGCTACTCAACGCCGTTTTTGACATTGTCGTGGCATCCTGTGTTCTAAAAATAACAGCGTGATAACGGCGGGAGACTTAAAAAGTACTCAGCTTCTTCGTGGCTCTAGCTTCCTTTGGTTTCTTAGAGGTCTTAGTCCTCTTAGACCGCTGTTAGAAGGTTCAAATGACCACCCGCGCCAATTTTGGGGCGAGAGGTGGCCCCATTAAACTCAATGCAAAGGTTGCAGATGTTTCAGATGATCGGCCTCTGGCTTTCATGCAGGGCTGGAATCTGCGAACCCGTCGCAAAGGCGGAGCCTGCTGCGTTTGCTTTGCTGTGAGCCCATTGGGGCGCACTGTTTACACAGTCCGGGTCCAGACGTAGCCTTGAGTCGCGTCACCGGCGACACACCCCCTCCTAGTCCGAAGTCCAGCGGCGTCACCGCGTGCAACACAACCAGCACACGCTCATGTGTTTAAACTCCGACGGCTTCCAGTCTCGTGGCGGCTGGCCAGGCGCCAACCGAATTTCTTGCATGCATACATGACCAATACAATGTACCAAAAAATATAGTAAATAGATGCAACTAAAGGGATGGATGCAGTCAATCAATTAATAATGAATTGTTTGTAGGATGATGTGACATCACATTGTCAAGACACGATGACAGGATAGCGTGTAAAATTGATTGGCAAATTTGAAAGCATTCTAATTGCCTTCAGAGTTAAATGTACCATTAAAATAAAGATTACGAACTGATGTTTCAAGTCGATACAACGAGCCTTGGAAAATCAGTTAAGAACAATGCGCAGTACACCCTGCTTAAATCAGATGAAATCAAAGATGAATCAGAATGAGCATCCGTCTGTTTTGCGTAATATCACCCGTTCAGTAAAACAAGTCGTCAGCTATGACAAGGGACATTGTGAGCAAAGCCTAAACAACATGTCCGTTATGAAAGAAAGCGTATGCTTCGTTATGCTTCCCGTAAACAAGGAAGGCCTTGGGCTCCTGGTTTTTGCGGCATTATGAGCTTCTTATTCTTATACTGACAACAGTCAAACTTCAATACGCCTTAAGATACTGGTTAAAGGACATTATCAAGCGAGCATTGGCTAATTTGTATTGAGTTTTGACAGCTGCAGCAACGCTTCCTTGACTACGTCGCTTAGCCAGTCCCTCCTGGTAAAATGATGGTTTCCTATTGTTACGATAAGATTCAAACTGATATATCCCAAGTTATGCACTAATCGAGCATCAGTATTCCGTTCAAACACGTCACATGCTTCCAGGAGTAATTCATGATTGTCAGCGTGTAGGACACAAGCCGTAGCACCAAACAAATGAAAGGTCCACATAAACTGCGGTCTACTGGGACGAAACATGAACTTAAAGAGCATGATGCCTGGGGAAGCAGACCTGCACCTGGTGCGTTTCAGATTTATGATCAAATCACGGGTAACCCAAAATTTGCATGTACCGAGCCTGATGTAAATCATTTGTCTTTGACCAGATTCAGGACCAGGACGGGTTCGATTCTTGTTGCTTTCATTCAAAAGCAGCGATGGCCCTCAAAATAAGAAAAATAAGTTTGAATGACTGACGACCGTGGGCTGATAAACAGCATTGCAGCATGGCTTATCCATATCATTATTTTATGCCAATACATATAAATTTCCACTAATAATAAATAATGCAAGAACATGAAACTATTTACGCACACACTACATGAATCCAATACACATGGAAGTCTTACAAATCTACGCATAAAGGGCGCGTTAGGTTTTAAGCCTCTTTGTCGGCTCTCGTTAAGAGTCTAAGGAATTCCGTCACACCACACCATGGCACCCCGGAGAGAGGAGGCAGGTATTCGTCTTCCAAGGCCAAATTCACTGGCGGCCCCAATCGTGATCGCAGAGAAAAAGACGGATCCGACAAAGCTCCCAGCAAGCTCACCCAGGCTAGACAAACAATGCTAGAGCTCTCAAAACGGCTCAACGTGAGCGGTGTTAGAGCGACACAAGCTACAGAACTTTCTGGGCAGAGCAGACCGGTTCTAATCCTATATTCGCGGAGCATACAGAGCCCTGAGAAGGGCCGCGTTGTGAGCTCACTGCGGCAGTCCGACTGCTGCTCTGAGATTAAACGCAAGTCAGGTCTCCATGCGCCCAATGTCTGCTTCGGTTCAAGCAGCTCGTGCGCTCCAAAGACGAGCACCGCGGCCGCCGTCGTGCGCCACAGGAAAGGCGGCGGGCGTGACAAATAATTATCGTATTGTTGAAGCCTTCTAACGTTTAACTCTTATTGAACTGTTTGCATAGGGCACGGTCAGTTTCGGAGGGTTGTCTTCTATTATCAGCGTTCATATGACCTTGCTACTTACTAGCTGTTAACAATTATCACACAAGCGGTGTTCTTTTTATGAACGTTTGAATTTACAGCCTGGAAGTTCAAGTGACGTTTTGTTTTTTCTTCATCCTCCTGCAGTTAACTACCGCATCGCGCAACCGTGTGGTTTTCTATCCTCAGCTGCGAAGGACCGCATGGTGCACACATGTTGTGTTTTCTGCACTCAAGTTGCGAAGGATCGCGTTACGTAGCCGTGTGGTGTTTTTCTACACTTAAGCCGCGAAGGACCCAATTATGAGGCCGCTTTGCACGCAGATAACATTGTGCATCTATCAGGCGCTGAAAATGTGAGCCATGTCAGGAAAGCGAGCCTCGAACTTGAGGAAATCATGTCCAGATGTTTTACCAACTGGTCTCTAACTCACATGCCTTACCAATTGATGATTCAACATTTCTTTAGCTTACTGCATGACCACGGCTGATGTTGAATCGTATTTATTGGAAATATCACGCTATTCAGGATGTTTTAAGTTACAGCTGGAAAGTTTGCATGGTATATTGTTCGTTTGCTGTGCTTCAGCTGTGAATGACGGCATCACGCAGCCGCTTTGCAGACATGTGATTTCGCTCACCTAACAGGAACTGAAAATGTGGACATCTCCGGAACATCCAGGCGGCCGCACCATGTGACCTTTCACGGCCGGATTTATCAGAAAAACCACAGGGCGTTCCAATAGGTTTGAATAGCGTTGATTTGACTGCTCTCAAGTCATCATTGCCCTCTAGTAATAAAGGATTCCGGATCACCTCTGTTGATTTGATCGAACCAACCGTTGATTCAAAGAACATTGGAAAACTAATGAAAAGTAAGCTTGATTCCGATAATTATTCGGCCTCAGTCATTTTTAGTTGAAGTCGATTCTGCTCATGTAGAGTCGGCCACAGCACCATTCTGCGGCGCAGTAAGTCGTTTAGTCTTTGCCATCCGCGTCTGTCCCCCCGTGGCAGAACTGATGGGTGGCACGTCACGTGGTGCCCGATCACTGTGGCCACAGTTCAAGGTTGCGGCGGATCGTTCGTCACGTGACCCCTGACGCACGTGATGCGATGGCGGATGTCGCCTTGGAACTGGCAGCGCCCTAAACAGCGTCGGGCGATCTGGCTCTAATCCAAGACCGCCTCTGTTTAGAAAAGCCGGCCGACGATCACCGCATGTCACGCTACTCGGTAGTGAGGCAACCAGCAGAGCAGCCGCGGGATGCAGGGGCTGAGGGGGATTTGCAGGGATGCAGGGGATTGTCATGCAGCACCCAAACGTCCCTCGTTAAAGTTGAGTGTCGCTGTCGGGGCTTGGGCGCCCCTGAAGTGAAGGCAGCTCCAGCCACGTGCGGCGGGTCACACGGACACTGTCGGAACTTGGGTCCCCCTGAAGTGAAGGGAGCTCCACCCACGTGCGGCGGGCCACCACGACACCTCCGGTGAACGATTGCCTCCGGGAAGCCTGCAAAAGTGAACGGGTAGCCGCCCCGGCCGCGGGACGCGGTGACAGCTGCGCCTTCAGTGACAGCGCCATCGGAGCCGGCCAACTGACTCGCCGACACATGACAAAGTTCAGGGAGCTACACGAAGCCAGACTGAAGACTTACGAAAACAAATAGTGAGCGAAGAAGAAAATCGGTTCAGTGCAAGCACAGGACCATGGAGCACAAACCGCACTCCGCCCTGCTCCAGATGTGTCCCCCAGTCAGGCGTGGTCAGGTCAGGCCAGGATGCGTCCCCGGCCATGTGCCAAATTACGACTGCACCCCGGGATCGAACGTCTGTAAGGGCTCAGGGGCGAAGAGCAGCGGTCTGGCGCACACCCACGTCTGCGCTCGCCGACGCAGGGGGGGGGGGGGGGGGGGTACGCGGTTGGGACCACGGTCGGAGGCGGAGCTGGTGTGCACCAGTACACGCCAGATGCTCTTCAGTCGAGGACAGCGCTATCTGGCGGCGGCGCGACAGGAGGAGCGCCGTTGCGTCAGGGATCGAGTTCCGAAGAGCGCACGCCCGTGCCAGCAGTCGACGGCGTGCTCTGGCGGCGGCAGGCCCGAATAGCTGCGTCTGACGGCCGCTGTGACACTGGGCGAGCTGCCGAGCAGGACGGGTGGACGTCGGTGGCCGCCGCGCCGCCGCAGGGTCTGCCACGCTCCGGCGCCAGCGTTCCGTCCTCGTCCGGCGCGCCAGTGCGGCACTCCAGACCGCCAGCCCGGCCGGCGACCCAAGTGACACCCGATGGCCGAGGCCGAGACCGCGGCCGTGACATCGGCCACCGCGGCGACCCCGGCGACTTCGGAGCCGGCCGCCGACCAGTTCTTCGTGGCCACGGCCGAGATGGCGCAGCTGCAGCTGCCCGTGTCCGACGCGCCGTACGTGTCCGGCTCGGACAGCTCGCCCGAGCTGCTGCGCCGCCGCGTGCCCAGCATGCGCGTAAGCGAAGACGTGATGTTCGATCGTTGGTGCGACCCGGCGCAGCCGCGCGTGGTCCACTTCCAGGACATCTGCGAAGCCGCCTACAAGATCAAGTCGGGCATCATGGTCACGCCGTGCACGCGCTCGCACATCTCCGAGGAGTGCAACATGCAGCTGTTCTTCAAGAAGGACTACATGCAGTACACTGGCAGTTTCAAGGAGCGCGGCGCACGCTACACGCTCATGATGCTGACGGAGGAGCAGCGGAAGCGGGGCGTCATCGCCGCCTCGGCCGGCAACCACGCGCTGGCGCTCTGCTACCACGGCCGGGAGCTGGGCGTCGCGGTCACCGTTGTCATGCCGGTGAGCGCGTCCGCCTATGCCCCGCCGTCTCAGGCGGCGACAACAGACGGTAAGCGCGTCCGCCTATGCCCCGCCGTCTCAGGCGGCGACAACAGACGGTAAGCGCGTCCGCCTATGCCCCGCCGTCTCAGGCGGCGACAGCAGACGGCAAGCGCGTCCGCCTATGCTCCGCCGTCTCAGGCGGCGACAACAGACGGTAAGCGCGTCCGCCTGTGCTCCAACGTCTCAGGCGGCAACTGCAGACGCTAGTGGAGCTGACTCGATGCTGAAGGCCGTTGCTGCATCATTTAGAATGCATCACGCCATGTTAGTTGTTTTGTGATATCCATCTGTTTATAAGTACGCACGTTTTTAATTCAGAAAAGCATTGCAAGTGCACTTGTAAGGTAGTAGGTAAAAGCTTAATTTGTGAGGTAGGCAGTAGTTTAATTTGTTAATAAAAAGCGGGTGGCAGGTATGTGTGCACGCTATTTCAAGGTCTCACTAGCTTGTGATGAATCTTGGTTTTCACTTTTGCGTAGCACGGCACACGACGCAGAAATGAACTTACCTCAAGTTCTTTCCAGAATAACCTAGGTCAGCATCTAACCCGCTCAGGTATACATGCTTGTCCTGGAGGTATCAGACTTACGGCAGAGTTTTTAGGAGTCGTGTGGGTGACCGACGTCGCTCCCGTCACCACGTAACTAACCCTCTGATTGTCCGTCCTCATCTGTCCAACTGTCTGGTTGCCATGTCGCTGGCTGGGCCGTCGTCGCCTGCTGACCATGACGAGGTTGTCAGAGGGCCTTGTGTTCCGCTGCAGATCATCGCGCCAATCATGAAGGTGCAGTCGTGCCGCGACTACGGCGCCAACGTCATCGTGTGCGGCGATGACCTCGCCCAGTCCAAGGAGATCGCAATGACGATGGCCAAGGAGACCGACCTGCTCTACATCAACGGCTACGACCACCCCAACATCCTGGCCGGGCAGGGCACCATGGGCTTGGAGGTGATGGAGCAGGTGAAGGACGTGGACGCCATCGTGGTGCCGGTCGGCGGCGGGGGCCTGATCGCCGGCGTCGCCATGGCTGTCAAGTCGCTCAACCCCAAGATCCTGGTGGTGGGCGTCGAGTCGGAAAAATGCGCCACCTTCTCAGCGGCGCTGGAGCACGGCCGACCTGTCCACACCAAGTGCCAGTCGACGCTGGCCGACGGGCTGGCTGTGCCCACGGTCGGCGTCAACGCCTACGCCACGGCGGCGCCGCTCATCGACAAGATGGTGCGCGTGTCCGAGGAGCAGATCGCCATCAGCATCCTGCGCTTGGTCGAGGTGGAGAAAGCGGTGGTGGAGGGCGCCGGCGCGTGCGGCCTGGCCGCCATCCTCTCGGGCGCGCTGCCAGAATTGCGCGGCCGGCGCGTGGTCGTGCCGCTGTGCGGCGGCAACATCGACACCACCATCCTGGGCCGCTGCCTGGAGCGCGGCCTCGCCGCAGAGGGTCGCCTCTGCAAGTTCACCGTCACCGTCAGCGACCGCCCCGGCGGCATCGCCGAGCTGACGCGCCTCCTCGCCAAGCTCGGAGTCAGCATCAAGGACATGCTGCACGAGCGCGCCTGGATCCGCAACGACATTTACAGTGTCGAGGTTAAGGTGGTGGCCGAGACCATTAACGCCGCCGAGACGTACCGGCTCCGCGACGCCATCTGCACAGCCTACGAGCAGGTCCGGTTCGGCCCCATCTGCGGCAGCTTCGACTGAGCGCCACCAGGCGGCAGGTGGGGCGGTTGGACCCGCCCCGGACGCGGCGGCGGCGAAGGGCGGCGGGGCCGCGTGCTCTCTGGCGCGATATTGTCGGCCACCGTGCCTTATCGTGAGCCTGCTTCAGTGCAGACTGATACGCTGCTATCAACGAGTACTGTCTGTCACCCAGATTAGGCCGAGCGCAATATGGGGCGGCGAACAGCGGTGCTGTGTGCGGGGTGATTTGTATTGGTTCGTTTGTGAGGCTTAGGACGGCGCTCATGTTGCATACCTATTATGATTACATATGATATAATGTGACATGTTTCAGCGTATTGAAAGCCTGCTAGACCACAGACCGACGTCGGCCTGAGTTGCAAGGTAGACTTCGAAATATCGGCACCAACTGTGGAACGACAAAGATGCCATACTGGAGCTTCATGAAATATCGATTGAGTAATGTGCGTTAACTGGTATTCATTGAGACAAAAATACGAGGACTAAATGGTCATCTAGAAACAGACGCAAAAGCTATTAAGGAGAAAGATGCATACGCCTTGGACACAACGCCATCTCGTGATCTTGGCGCCATCTCGTGACGTCACGACGTCACGTCATTCAAGACATGACGTGACGTGACGCTCCAAGTGCGTCGAGCGCAAGGAAAGCTTCAGAATACATATGGAGTATTTAAAATAGAAAACAGGCATAACATGTGCCAAGTCAAGCCCAGGGGTGATAAAGTTGTGATTTATCGGATGTGATCGGCAACAAGAGTGAGGCACTTTAACGAACTATTTTGTGACAAAACCGCCCAAATGGAAGCAAAATTACAACAGATCATCCCAGTCAGGCGACACTCAAAGCTTAGCATTGGCCTGTACTCGCCAACACTGGCAGCGTGAGCCTGTGGAAAACACATGTCGGAACGTTTGCGTCTTGTACGCGCAAGCTGAGTCACCAAATGCTTCAAACTATAGTAATTTCCATCCGGGTAGTTTTGAGCACGTGACAGAGTTATGCTTTAACTCAACTGTAGCAGTGCTGACGTCACAGAGGTAATCTTGAATTTCCTTAAGGGGAGTGCTCCACATTTGCATCAGGTTTTGAACAAAAATAGCCACGTTGAATATCATTCGGTGCAGTTTATTACCCTATAGAAAGAAAACACTCAAAACCTACGAATAAAAATGCAAGAAAACCATGAATAACTGTCACGGCATTGGTGCCTCGGCAAAATGTCCTCCGACATCGACATGGCAGTACTTACTTCGACTGCACGGACTTAACATGGCATAGGTGCTACATGACAAGGCGTGTAATGCAAAAAATTATACTCGTCATTACTTATGCAACAAAGACTTACACAGTCCTCATTCATACGCGATATTACTTCTGCTGTAAAAACTCATGCACGGCATAAGTCCTACACGACAAGATGCACGACGGAAAACATAAACCAGTCATTAGTTCTACGGTGGAGACCTGATCACAAGTGTTTGCTGCAGCACTAATGTCGCACATAAGTATTTACAGCAGAAGTAATGCCGTGTGTAAGTAATGGTTGTATAAGCTTAGGAAGCATGCGCCATGTCGTGTAGGGTTAATGTCGTGTATAAACTTTTGCAGCGGAAGTAATTCGCGTATACGTAATGAATGCATCATCTATGCAGCCCACCAAGGTAGCTTTGCTGTCTTGAGCAGCCCTTTCCACTTGAAAGTATACCGATAGTTACGAGCACGGGTGTTGATTTGTGTTCTTTCAACTAGGCTTTTGCTTCCCCCCCCCCCAAATCAAGTTGGCATCCCCCTCCACAGGTGAATTTGGTCCTCCAGCCCTCTGGGGTCTACGTATGTGCGTGCAGTGCATTAAATATCAGATCTATAAAAAAAGGTGTCTAATAAGTGCTCCACAGACAAAAGAAACAAGTGCACGCTGCGAGGCCACCTTCTGTTGAGTGCAATTGAGCGAGCTCATCAAACTTAAGATCTCCGCGTTCGTACCACGTTTATGGGAGCATTCCGTCTGCCTGTATCTTGCACAATTTAATTGCACAATTCCTGCCTTGTGAACTTCTCTCTAGTTTTATGTTCTGTCTGAGTGTTTTGGCATTTTTCAGCGATTTTCCAAGTTATATAGGCTGCAACAAGGTGCGCTCTCTGGAAAATTCTGCCCAACGTGTTATCAGGGAGTTAAGACAAACAAAAGGTCGAATATTAGCAACCCAAAACATGGCGATTCTCCTAGGCGCTATGTTCGGAAGAACCTTTGAGACATGCCGACCTCCACCATGAAGTGAACATTCAATGAAACAGTTACGAAGACCTGAGGACTGACACCACGCGACAAAACTGACAGCGGTAATCGTCCGACAATGATCAGCGGACAACATCAGCCGTTTCGGCATGCCTGTCGCGCATGCTGCGTTACAGCCTGAAGCCCGCCTTGCGGCTTCCTGCCGGGTTTTTTAGCGGCGGCGGTAAGAGTCGCACACTTCGACTTACGCTCATTATTTCCGAAGCCATGCACGCCTAACACGTCTAAAGTCGCACGTCTGAGTGACATCGACCCTACGTCGATTACCGAAGCCTGGTTTCGACCATCAAGGCCGAGGTGATTATTATGCCCGACGACAACATCTTCCGCTGAGATGGAGCGAGGAAACGCATTGGAGCAGGCGCGTAGTTTCCTATTCAGTTGGGGAAACTCAAGCTCTTTAACGCATTGGAGCAGGTGCGTAGTTTCCTATTCAGTTGGGGAAACTCAAGCTCTTTAACTTTGAGGAAAGCAAATCCAATACGGGGAAAAGCCTGCTTTTAGTGCACTTTAAGGGCAGGTTTGGTCATCTTCCCCGTTCGGCGCCCCAAACCTGCTTGCGAAAATACACCCCTGTGGTGGAAGCTTGCTGACCGTCGCACGCGGCGGATTCGCCTCAGCAGTGTTTCACCGTCCAGTCCACAGCACCGCTCCATGTTGGAAAGCGTCTGAGTCTAGAGGCAGGTAGATTAAAATTGCTGAGGTGACCGGCAGCTTGCAACAACAAAGTGGCGTAAGATACCCAACTCCTCGACTTCACCCACCCCGACCACATGTCCACCCTAAAGTCCCGTCAGGAGGAAACCAGCCTTGCCTTCCAACCCTACCTCACTGCCAATTCCCTAGATGAGTACTACTAGACCACCCTTCTTCCGGTGGGCATGTCCCAGGCCGTAAAAACTCTCGCCGATCGTGAAGATGATGGGAGTGACCATCGATGGTACCCTTTCCTGGGGGGAGCACGTAGCCGAAATGGTTCAAAAGTGCAACTCCGTCCTGTTTTGCCTAGACAAAATTTGTCGTCACTTCCCACCCGAAGCCCGCACACTCCTTACCCAGACCCAAGTTTTCCCCGCGTCCTGTACCGCCTCTCAGTCTGGGGCGTGGCCCCCGCCTGCTATCACTCCTGGTGCAAGAAATCATAAATTTTGCGGTCATGATCGTCTCGGAGGTCCAGATCATATTTCACCGATCGTAAGGTCGCTGGGCTGGTATCAATGACCTTGTTACGCGCCGAGATCACATTGGCGTTTTCAGAGCCCTTAATGCCCCCCCCCCCCCCGTGCCCCGATGGCGGTCCGGTCGCTGTTCACTCCTCGGACCGCTGTGAGTGAGTGTATCACGAGGTCGGCGGTGGGCGGCGCTTTGAAGCTGCCCTTTCCGGCTGTCCATGTCGAAGAGTGTACTTTCATATCGTGCGGTCTTGTCCTGGAACCACCTGTCGCCGGCCGTTGCAGCCTCCCGGAGCCGTGCTGCGCCCACATCTTAACTTGAGAAATGTCAAGAAGACGGTCCTGCTTCGACTTTGTATGCCATTCCCAAACTCTCCAAGTGCCATCATTTTCGCCGCATCTTCGTGTTTATCGTGCAACTTGTAACCCATCCACTCGAATCCAACATTAAGCCACACGTATGGAGCCACTCGCAGTAAATACATGGCATGGCATGATGCTCAAACCCCGACTTGTTCCACACAGCACCGATGCAAACAACAATGGCGCAGTCTGCACCCGATGCGCTCGACCGATTCACACTGCTGATTGCCAGGCCTAGTAGTTCCTCTAGAGTATGGACGAACTGAAGGCATGAATTGAAGAAATGTCTATAAAGGGTCACGTTTAAGATAGCAAGCTTATTCACGGTTGGATACACCTGGTTTATTTATTCCATATTAATGGAATCGCATGAAGACAATCTTTTCCTCGTCATGGTGTTAGGCATATGCTTAAGCTTCATAAAAACATTTTCAAAGCTTTTTAAAACTTTTCGGTGCATTCATTAGTCGTGAAAACGGCTATTGTTTAAGATGCTAACACGCCAGAACGTATATCATCGGGACAATAGCGACAATAGAGCATCGAGGCAACTAAAAGCAAATTTCTTATTACTCGGAAAAAGGAAAGGTCCTCATAAGTGTTCAATCAAATAATTTGTAAATTGGGTAAATGAAACTTCCGAAACGAGCCCAGCTCTGCTGTGTTAATATTTATAATGTTTAGGGCGCGTAGCATTTCGTTTGCCCTTGTTAGTTTCATGTAGATTTTCCTCCAGGTGTTGATGTAGTCCGTTCCAAATTTCGTAGTGACATATATATATATATATATATATATATATATATATATATATATATATATTACGAGCAGCGTACAGCTGATCGTAAGAGTCAGCTGCGTATATCATGCCGTGAAAATCACTGAAAATCACCTTGGATGGGTTACTGACCTTGCCGACCTCGCGTTTGACCCGTTCAGCGGTCTTGTACACCTCTTCACGCTTCGAGAGATCGCATGTATACGCGTGTGCCTCTCCGCCAGCTGCCCGTATCAGTCGCACCGTCTCGTCATTACCTGTGAGAGGGGGGGGGGGGGTCACTACAAGATCTCCACACATTCCTGCCACCGACGCGACGACCACACTGTCAAGCGAAGTAAGTCCCTCGCGTCCCGAACGTGTTACAACATATCTCCTGCACTGAAGCACACACCAGGTGATGGCATATTGCTTCGCGGTGAAGCCAATGCTGAAAAGTACCTCAGGGTCAAGTAACACTATCTGGATGATCAGTTACGTCTCCAGCAGCACGACTTCCTAGGTGATGCATAATATGCACAGAGCAGCAATCCGTTCTAATGTCCCCGGTGCGGCCCAGCTGTAGCACGCTCAAGGTCATCACGTCACATCAGGTGCAACAGGCACTGCGAGGCTGTGCACCCACCGACCCGGTGGCCTGGAGCCCAACGTGATCACTAACCGCGGAAGAGCGATCAAGTCGAGAAAGCTGACAGGCTAAAGAGGGCCGAGTGGCTGACGTTGCTATAGTTTCAGAACAAGAACACGCCAAGCAGCCTCAGACGGTCGCCAGGTTGTGGAGTCACAGACGATTAACTTCGCGTGCGGTTTTTCGAGGGCTACGCTCCCTGGGGGCCTGCCATGGCGAAGTTAGTGACTTTGGTTTTTATTTTCATCGGAAAAATCTACAGACGCAGATCATAAACTTGCCATCGGGAAGCTGTGTTAATGTCCGGTTCAGGAGGCATGTACACCGAAAGTTGGATGACGCTGAAACGAGCTATAAGGCGGCGTGACGTCATGAATGTCCTGGTGGCTGGTCGGCGGCGCCACGCCACGGCGTCAACGCGCCAGAAACATTTCCCAGGGCCTTTCTCAGGTAAACTCTGAACCGGTTTCGATCGGCGTCTCCGATAAGGCACCCCGGCCAGTAGCACGAGGCACAATATGAATTTGCATAGTGATGACATTTGCGAGGATGGTAAACGCATGGTTTGCCAACTTGTGTGAGTGTTGCGAGGTTTGCTTGACCTCGTCCCCTCCTATACAAATTGGTGGCGTCGCCCCTTGCTAATGGAGTCGCCAAATGTTGCGCCAAGGTATCTATAAAGTATCTATAAGGTACAGGGCATTTGTGGCAGTATCGGTGAGAAGGGCCGAAAAGGTCATTTCTAGGTGGCAAGATACATCTCTAACCGCTCTACAGTCAAAGGTCGAAAAACTCCGAACCGCAAAATTTCGTCGGCGCCGGCGGACCGCGGAAGGGTTTTCGTGGCGTCACACCAACCACTAATCATTTCAGCTAGGCACCACATTGCGGATCAATTGAAGCCTCTCCGTTGATATTTTGACAGGGGTTTAGGGATTTGTCAACTAATCTACAATGAGAAAACCAGAGTTGACCACACAGCATGAAACAATTACAAGGTGTTTCTGGAGGTCAGACGCTGTCATAGCCGCTAACGGTCCGGCGGAGATAGCACGGCGGAGCGGACAAGCCCAGGTGACCTTGTCAGTGATGCGTGCCGACCGGTCCGAGCAGTTTTTCTGCCATACACAGGCACGGCAAACTGTACAGGCAGGTTTGCTAAACAACATTATGCGGCTGTTTACTGCTGGACTGGTGGCCTGGCACCGACAAAAAGAAGGGACGAATATTTTGGTAGGCCGGTAAAACCTTGCACAATTTCGATGACATCGGGGCTATCACATCGTTGCGTAACACCTTCAACGATGTCGAAATACCGACGGGGAAAATGTCAAGTTCGACCTAACTGGAAATACTCGACCTGAATAGAAATCGTGCCATTTGCTAACGTCATTTTTTCTTTCATTTATAAAAAACCTGTTGATCCAAAAAGGTGACTTTTAATGTTACTACTCCGGAACATGAAACGATGCCGTTTTCCACGCTGATTTCGATCGTAACCCTTCTGCCAATGTCACAGACTGACGCCGCAGAAAACCATTGCTCCATGCTCGCATCCCATAGCGGCCACACTGGGGCAAAAACTCCTTACAAAATGAGGTATACAACCGCGCCTTACGTCAGCCGATCAGGGCCGTGTCTTCCCTCACTCCACGAGAACCGCGCCCTTCCTCGTCTGACGGGAGCCACGCCTCCCCTCGCCCGACGAGAACCGCGCCTTCCTTCGCCTAGGGCCGGGTTTTCCCTCCACCGACGAGAGCCGGGCTTTTCCTCGCCCGACGAAACCCTCGCCAGGGGTCTGTCATTATTGAAGCCGCTACAGGCACGCTTCCACCAAGCTGTGACGTCACATGAGCGGTGTCCCGACTGCGCCGGGAGTTCACCACCGATGCTTTATGCGGCGTCTTTCTGCGCAGGCAGTGCCAGCATCCAAGGTTGTACTTAGAAGTCGCTTGAATTTGGCTGAATGGATTCATTTTCAGCACCCCTGGCATTTCCGTTGCAGGAGCTAGCAAGAGAATGTCTGTAAGTGCTACTTGTGCCCGAAGACACTGAAGCCAGATATCCAAATTGGAAATATTGCTATCATCTAACGTTGCGAGTCCTCAGCTGGTGCTCATACGCCTACAGGCTGTTGACAGTGGACGGTGTGGGGCCACACCCATCTTCTTTGCAATGAATAGCTGGAACGCAAGGCGGAATATGCGACTTCACGAACTGGACGAATATTGGAAATTGAGCAGTCTTCACGGAAGCAGGCAGGTTCGGCCTTCGTCCGCGTCAATTATATGCACAGCACAGCTGCGCAGTGGGCTCCTGAGATTCGAAGGCACAACATTTGCATTACAAGTTGAACACCCGTACACTGCACTACGCTGTCTAGCGCCACCGCCGCCGAATTCGAGAAATTGGGCGGTAAGCTATTAAAGTCAATTTTGGCGCTTGGAAACATGCGATTTTGGGCCCTAGGAGAAAACGGTACATATGTTAATGATAGGTAGTGACGCAGTCTGTTGTATGGTACTGAGATCATACAAATCTACCAGGTGGAATAACATATAAAGTCTTTAAACTTCACGGCGAATCCCAAAACAGCGAATGCCTAATAGGGGTTTCAGCAATCCTCTGCCGCCATCAGTAGTCGGCAAAATCGGTCAAATCCCCGGATGGGGTGCGTATTGAAACATCCAATGTTCTTATCGCCCAGTGGTTAACGTTCTAGATCGCTGCATCCAGCGCACATAGCATCCAAAATCGGTCAAGAATCACGACATCCGAGTTTGCAGCATCCAAGACCGCAACATCCAAAGTTCATCCATAGTTCATAACATACAGCGTTCATGACATCCATAGGATGGAGTGCAGTGCCAATCAAAGCTTGTCAACTGGATGTCGCGATTGCTGGATGCTACAATCATTGGATGCAACGACTTTGGACATTACGAGGTTATATTTTATGAGGTCCGCCAATGGGCACGGAATTAAACGCATTTTTGATGTCATAAATGCTGGACGCTACAATATGCGACGCTTTGATGTCCCTCTCCCCCCCCCCCGCGATGACTGAACTTGGTTGCATGGCATTGTACCAAGCTTTCCCTCGCCGACAAGCGACTTAATGTTTGTATTTTGCGCGGCATGATAAATCCACCCTCACGTGCTGATGCGCGGATTAGTGCCTTCAAATAAAACTGCTGGAAATCGCATATGACGTCTAAGTTGAATGAGTAAGTAAGTAATAAGCGAGCAGTAAGTAAGTAACGAGCAAGTTGTAAGTGCCTTTTCACCGCATGCCCTAAAGCTCCGGCTGCCGGCTCTGTTGCGCCGCTGCCCGCACCGGTCCAGCCACTTGCGCTGGTGCTGCCCCCGTCTCTGACGTTCATCCGACGCCACCCCCGCAGCGCGACTGAGCAGCGCTAGGCCGACACCGTATCACAGACGTGTCCATGAGAGAGGATGACGGCAGCTAGCCGGGATTGCGCAGCTGAGCAGAGCTGGGTTAACACCGTATCACGCGCGTGTCCAAAATCGCGGATGACCGCAGCCAGATGGGAAAACGCAGCTGAGCAGAGCTAGGTTAACACCGTATCACGCGCGTGTCCATCCTCGCGGATGACCGCAGCCAGCTGGGTTTCTGTTCGCCCGAGGTCAACCCCACGGCGTGGCTGAGCAGCAACAGGTTAACATCGTATCATGCGCGTGTCCATCGGAGGAGATGATCGCAGCCAGCCAGGTTTACGCACGCAATCGGCACGCATGCGATGAGAAAATTTGAACAGCTGAACCGAAGGTTAGCAGGCTAGGACAGATAATAAGATTCCTGTTATATCAACAGCTGCGTTTTTCTCAGAACTAGAACAAGGTGATCAAGCCGGCAACCGCAAGCGCAAATCTCTGAAAGCTTAGACTTAATGTCAACCACCAGTGAGAAGCATCTGAGTGTCGCTGCACCGGCCGCACGAGGTTAAGGTCTTTGTCATTTGCACTTTCACGCCAGAGACGGATTTTGTAAATCTGCATTGTGATGTAGCACACACGTGAGCGTGAAACAATGAGTTTAATCGGTCCGTCAAGGGTCAAACCAGAGTTGGCCCTGCTGTCATACTCCAAAAGGTTCACAGGCCCCATATAGTCACAATGACGTGCGATAAAGCATCGGAAACACGCAGCTCGATGGCGCCGTGGCGACGAGTCGCTGACATCCCATACCCCTCTGGGTTAGACGAGTCCCTGACATCCCATACCCCCTGGGTTAGACGAGTCGCTGACATCCCATACTCCTCTGGGTTAGACGAGTCGCTGACGTCCCGTACCCCTCTGGGTTAGACGAGTCCCTGACATCCCATACCCCCTGGGTTAGACGAGCCGATGACATCCCATACTCCTCTGGGTTTGACGAGTGGCTGACATCCCATACCCCTCTGGGTTAGACGAGTCCCTGACATCCCATACCCCTTTGGGTTAGACGAGTCGCTGACATCCCATACCCCTCTGGGTTAGACGAGTCCCTGACATCCCATACCCCCTGGGTTAGACGAGTCGCTGACATCCCATACCTCTCTGGGTTAGACGAGTCGCTGACATCCCATACCCCTCCGGATTAGACGAGTCCCTGACATCCCATAGCCC